TCCCTTCACAACTTGCACGATATCATTTATGTAGAGTAGAAATAACAGCGGTCCCAAAACGGTTCCCTGTGGTACTCCATACTGAACCAGTAAGGAATCTGACATAGAATTTTTAAATTTTACCCTTTGATGTCTGTTACTCAGATATGATTTGAACCACTGCAAAACTGTGTGCCCGATGCCGATATCGTTTAGTTTCTTTAATAAAATATCCCTATCTACAGTCTCAAAAGCCCCTTTGAAATCTAAAAATACTGCCAGTACGAAATTACCCTTATCTATTTCCCTCAGAAATACATCACATATATTTATGACCACAGACTCACACGAATGACTCTCACGGAAACCCGACTTATGACTCACCAATATTTCATTTTTATCACAATGATTTTGAAGTTGATTTTTAACAGCGAGTTCTAGCACTTTCTCATACACCTCGACGGTATTTATTGGCCTGAATTCATTGCACAGATTTGTACCTGGAACTTTAGGGACAGGGATGACAGTGGATTCCTTCCACGCCTCCGGAAAATCCCCGGTAGAGAGGGGCGCATTTATAACATTCAACAAACGATTTCCAACAGCATAACAAACATCACACAAAACCTTTTTGGAAATTCCACTATCACCACCCCCAACATTTTTCATGTCCTTTAGAATACCTTTCATGTCAGTCAATGATATTTGTTTGAATCTAGAAAACTCACTATAAGATATATTAGAGGTATCAGCTGAAATTTCACCTAAGAAGGGATATTTTGGGATATTATTTATAATTTCCTGAATGCTATTTATAAAATATTTATTGAATTCTGTAGCAATGGTTAATTCATCAGAGATTTTTTGATTTTCAAAATAAATTTCATCAGGTATTGTAGAATTTTTACTGGGAAGTAACAACTTTAAATTTTTCCACATTTCCCTAGGATTCTTTTTATCGTCATCAATTGTTGTTCTATAGTATTTTTTTCCCTGACCGCTCTAACATACAAATTATCCCTATGTCGCATTCTTTCTCTAATTTCCGCCGTAATCCAAACCTTATGTAAATATTTTTGCTTAAATACAACACGCTGTTTAGGACACATGACATTAAGAATATCCGCAATACCAGATACAAAAGCATTCGCCAAAACATTTACATCCCCACAATAATTATTCCACCCCAAGTTAAAGAGACAGTCCTGCAACTGGTCTACGTTATAGTGTTTCATAGATCTATGGTAAGCAACTACGTCTGAGTTCCCATTTGATTTCTTAATAGGGTGAATTGATAGAATACAATGATCACTAATTTTTGGTGTTAAATATACTTTGTATGGAAGCTTTTGTTATTTGTTACAATATAATCAATGAGTGTTTGACTTTTATCAGTAACGCGTGTAGGTGAGTTGACAATTTGAGTGAAGCCATTTGCATATACATTAGATAGGAATTTGTCACCGTAGAATGATGGTTTTAGCAAATCAAAATTGAAGTCTCCCATTATTATGTTAATTCCCCCGAACACACTGACCTGATCCAGATAACCATTAAAAAAATCTATGAATTTTGCATTTTCAATCTGGGGTGGATGATACAATACGGTACACAGATATTTTACCCTCTCCATTACAAATTCTAAAGACAACAACCAAACATAATTTTGTACACACTGTATATTTTTTATTTTATACCTAACATCATTTCTTATTAAGGCCATGACCCCACCAGTTCTCCTATTATTTGTAACACAGTTCTCAATTTGATAACCCTCAACATTCAATTCACACAAATGGGTCTCCGAGCACACATGAGTTTCCGACAGAAATGCCAGTTTAGGTCGCCAGTCATTCATGAATACATCTATATTATCTTTATTATTTAGGTAACCCTGACAATTAAAATATACTATACTAGAATTAATTTCCAGTCTAGCATCCAGTTGCTATTTGATAAATTTGTTCCGTTGAGTTTGTTCCACCCTCTTAAAATTTTCACAATTTATATCCCCAAGCTACATGATCAATATTAAGACTCATTCCATATTTTTTATTAGACAGTATACAATTTGAACATTTACTTACGTTACTGGTACAATCCTTAACATCATGTTCGTCACTACATTCAGGACATATCGCCTTTCCAGTACAATCCTTACTAAAATGGCCAAATTGGCAACAGTTAAAACATCTGGTAACACCATACTCATTGTAAACAGAACAACGGTTCCACCCAATATTCATCTTTTCCCTATTAATAAACAAATTATAAGTATCATCATCTAATTCAAATACTAAATTAAACCTTCCATTTATGACTCTGGTTCTACGCAAGATTTTCATAGCAAAACTATTACAGTTAGTGTTCAAGTCATTTTGTTTAATTACCTTTGTTATTATATTATTATCATCATTTTCAAATTCGCTTTTGTTTACTCCTATGACTTTAACACGATGCTGTAATATTTTTGGCCTATCAACTCTGTAACTTTCACCAAGTTTATCTTGAATTTGCGACTGAATGTTTGTTATTGTTTTTTCGTTACTACAGTTGAGTATCAGGCCCCCCTTTTTTGTTGATCGACCCATTGTGATGCCTATTCCTATGTCTGCAGGATCAATTTTAGTTTTTATATCTTCCTTTACTTGTTTAATATCCTTTGATGTACCTTTTTGATTGACCACCAATACTTTATTATTTTGCGATTGCGTTACTGATGAATATGTTTTTAAAGGCTGACGGAGAGAATTACATTCAGGCTGAATACCCTTAAGATTAGATATTTCATCTTTAAGTTTACGATTTTCATCTAACAGCAAATCTACTTTCTTATTTAATTCATTTGTTGTCTTAACTAATGAGTTTAGAACTGCATTTATTGACTCGATGGTACCTTGATCGATATGGTTGTCTTCTACACGGCTCCTCTTCCTAGGCCTTTGTTGTTGTTGTTCGATCCTAACCTCATTCAAAGGCTCCGCACACAACATACATTTCCAAGATGCTTTTTTCATATGAAAGCCTCGTAAATCCATATTTTCACATTTTCCATGGTAAAAACGATTACACACGGTGCACTGTATGACTGATTTTGCATCATCAAATCCGTATTTGCACTTGAAACACTCCGTTTCTAGATCGCTATCGCCAACACAACCATCACCGTCCGCCATCATTGACCATTTATTATCATATTAATTATTAATCTAAATTATTACACAAATATTTTCACATTATATCATCCTTCAATTATTTATAATGTAAGATGCACTTCTAGACGAGAATCTTGTTACGTTTGGTAAAGTTTACTTAAGGAACTTCAACTTTTGCAGTGCCTTAATTAATTTGTAGTTCTCAAAACTCAATTTGTAATGCCGTATATGTTTGTTTCTTCAAACAGAGTATGCTCGAATAATTTCAACCGGAAATTGTAAAAAAAAATCTAATCCATTAGTCAAATTGCAACTCGGTGGCTACCTGAAAAAAAAAACAATCTGAAAGAAAATTTACGACCCAATCTTTTATACGGTCAGCTTGACGTACCTTCGCAATTTTCAATTTCTATCTGGGCCCTTAACTTTGATCAAAATGAATAGTTTACGGATTGAGAGAGAGTAACAGCGCGATAAAACTGATTCTATATGTTCATAAATTTCACCGAAAGGATATTAATTGCTAGTGCTTAGATTAAAGCAAATTGAAACTGGGAAATTCGTTTCGCCTAAGTTTAAATTACATAATAAATTACACTACGGAATAATCCGGACTGGTTTTGCTCTAGCATCATTATTAAACAAGAATTTTTGTTTGCGGTCAATAAAAAAGATTATCACAAATTGCAAATAGCTATTTTGTTGAAAACCACATTAATATCAATATACATATAAATCTGCATTAATGCCCATTATATATTTATGGACAAATTCATCGGGCGCCGATTTAATTAATGGTGATGTTAGTTAATTATTTACATAATATTTATTGGACATTTATTACTTATTTGTGGTTTAAATGTTGCATCGATAACATATTTAACCACAATTTGCAGTATTTAAGTATTGATAGGCATTATAATTGTATATAACCTTGTTTCTGCTACCATTATCCAAGGGGTTTTTTGTTTTTGCAACTTTTCATTGACCTTTAGAGTCATTTACATCTTTTGCTATACCAGCAGCACCCCCACCTAGTGCTCCTAGAGCAGATAAACCAGCAATTATTGGAATAGAGGGTTTAATACTTTCGGTTTTAGGAATAGGAATAATTTCATGGTCAAATTAAAAGAAAGGCACAATAAAACATTTTGAGAACATACTCGCACATATAGTAATCCAGTTTTCAAATTGCACATTTTTTATGCAAGTTTTTTGACATAATTACCCTGGCTATGACAGTCATTGTACTTGTGATTAGGTTTTAGTGCAGCAATTAGTTTTGGATCAGCTAGAAATTTAATTATGATTGATAACGGTCTATCGTAATCGTAAAGCCATGACTACACAAAGCGTGTACACAATATTTCATCATCAACAACAATTAGAATATAACCGTGTTGCACTACATCATGCGTCCTTTATCCCGGAAGCGTTTTATTAGTAGGACACGCAACGGCGCCCGAGTTATTCAACTTCAACGTTGAAATAATATTCAAGCAATCGTTATGCCTGTCTAGTTCAAATCGATTTCCGCTGGTGATAAATTTGCTATCGATATTATGTGAGCGGATATATTGCATACCAAATTATCCAACTATGAAGCAGAATTTTCAAATTATGCTTTTGAACACTGCAATCAAATGCAAAATTAGGTTTGTAATTTCTTTTTTTCATGCAAATTTTCCTCATTTACCTAATCACCATCAACATTTTTGCTTAATTTTCCAGCCTCACCACCAGAAAATGATTAATAAGCCAACTTATTTCAAGGGTCATTAGGCAAGTCCTTAATCAAATTAAAACCTTGTCGAGGTTCAACAACGAAAAAAATCAGGTCAATTATTCATCAAAAGAAAAAGTTACCTTTGCTAGTGCGACGGCGGGGAAAGTGTCCCAAGTGAGTTCGTGATCTTCGCCGCTTTTCCCCAACCGTTGTCCGCGTAATATTCTCGAAGCTGTCGTCGTCGCCACCCCCATTCCATCTCCGACGAACAGTATAACGTTTTTCGCAAACGGTCTTCTATCGTTAGAGTATTGTAGGCGCTTTCTTAAGGCTATGCGAGCTTGTTCGTACCAGTATTCTTGATCTGAAACAACAAGAATTGTCAGAAACTATTTTACTTATAAACCAAATAATGTTTGTTGTTTAATGTTTATAATATTATGTCATAATATTTTGCCTAGATAAATACGAATTTTAAGTTTGAGCTGTTGAAACCACATTTCATCTGGAAAAAAGTAGCAAGGTATATTAGGGCATAATATGTAGATTCATTCACAAAAAATTGCAATATAACCATTAAAACAAAAATTACTTTAATTCAATTCTAAACCGCCAGAGATATAATTTTATAAGCCCCGCAGACGAACTCAGTTAGGAGGATAAATTTGCATATATTGCCGGAAAGAATTCAATTTTGGGTACATTTTAGGAACGTCAGCAATAATTTATTATTCGTTTTTCCTATCCGGAGGTTTGGCTTGGCTGTGGTTGCCATTTTTCGGGACTTGACGATGATATATGGTTTTATGACCCCACCAACGCCTTTTGATTCAATTTCCATGTTGCAGTTGCGGTAATCAACGAGAACTGCTTTTTGTGAAAGGGTTTTTGTACAAGATTTGCTTTGCATGATAAATTATACCAGCGTATTCGTATAATTAGGTGTAGACACAATTTATGTTTGTATATAGGGTTTTAACAATATAACTCATTCACGATACACTCACTAGAATGCAACAAACAAACAAAACGGATAGTTGTTCCGCTAATTGCAACAATTGCATCAATTCGGTCTGTAGTAGTGGACCCAATATAACTCGAAAACAGCGCAATTGTGCATGCAAATCATTTCGTGTGTGCATTTGACTGGTTCATTTCGGTATTGCGCTTTTATTGTTTTTAGTGCTGCCCGGATTCTATTAATTTCGGCATAAAGAAGTTATTTCCATTTGCAAAGCTACACTCTGCTTTGGAAACGAAATCCTTTATTTTGAATCACAACGCAAATCGACGGAATAATCAGCTTTAGATTACTCGGGATATAGTGCTCTACTTTTGGATCTATGGATTTTAAATATAAGTGGTGTGCTTTCTGAGTTAGGGATGGGACAGTTGAAGCGTTTGAGTTTTCAAAATATTTATCTATATTCCACACAAGTCTAGTCAACAATTACAATTTTCCTGACGTATGTAACTATCTTTTGATTAATTAGATTGGATCGAAATTGGCAAAAGACTTATTGCTATAATCAAGTTCGGCCCAAAAATATTTGTTTTAACAAAATTTATCACAAGGATTTTTAAGTTCAACTAAGTATATAACTAAGAAATATCCACTTGAATTGTGTTTAACGGAAACACATAAGTCCAAGCAATTTTGGACGAAGAATTACAAATAAGTAAAATAACAGTTTATATAGATGCAATTCCAATTCAAAACATACCGGAGGTTGTAACATTCGAAATGTCACAAAAATATTTATTGTTCTTAATTATTTTTACATAAGCTGGGTTCGGCTATTCAGCACGGAGTTGGAGTGGAGTAAGAACAGATTTTTGTCACGTGATCTAGGAGTGATTAGAGTGAAAAATTCTTAGAGCAGGTAAAGCGCTGTCCTATGGACATAAGGAGTAGAAACGCGCCATTCTGGTATATGAAACAAAAGTGAAGCCAGTTTTTAGCAGATGTTTGTACACGCAATGACAGGTAGAGCATTGAATTAGCTATACCGCCATTATTTTGGATCTTAAAATACCTGGAAAAAAAACGGCTTCATTTTCCAACTCCATGATCCTACTCCTCCCACCTAGGAAATTACCTGCTCTAAGGAAAAATTAATACACGTACGACCGGAACGGTCGGAGCAGAAATGTCAAACAGCTGATTTGTTTTGTTTTAAAACAAGTCAACCGTGACTTAAGTAGGTACGTTCCAGTTTCCAATTTTTTTTCACTTCTGTCTTTGGTCTTTCGTGTAATTCCTCCACAATAAAGAACTTAACTTAACTTTGTCAAGGAAATTTTTCCATCATGTTTAATAAATTTCAAAATCAGATCAATTATTTTACTCGATGATTTTACCAATTCCCGCATCCACACAAACGATTTGCAACAACCACAACGTGACAAGTCAAATACAACACACAACAAGCTTGTCAGGTTACACATTTAACTTCTGCGCATGCTCACTTTAAAAAATTATTTTTCCGAGGTGGAACTTTTGGAGTGAACTCTATTTACTCCACTCCGTATTGTCGAACGCTAATGGAGTCACCTCTAATACGCCAAAAAGCAATATCCGAACGGCTGGAGTGCGAATGGAGTCACTCGGAGTGAGCAAGCCGAACCCACCCATATTTTGGACTCATGTAAAAGTACTATTTCATACATCTAGTTTCCCTAAGCTAATATTCATTGTCTAATATCGAGAATCCTGTTGTTTCCGAGCCACCTGTAGCGCTGTGATTTTTATGATTTTGACAAGCTTGACAGATGAACAAAGAAAAAACAGAACCAATTTGGGTACTTTTGACTTGCCCTTTTCTCTTTTGTTTCGAAACCGAACAGGTCGTCCAGATTTTTAGAAGTGATTAAAAATCCTAAAACTTTACCTTTATTTTTGGCCATCGAGTCAATATTCTTACCGAATAACGAGCCAGAAGAGTGCTCCCTCGTGTCTACTAGAAAGTTTTCTGGAAAATCAACCGTTTGTTGAATTTTGTGAAGATTTTTTGAAAGTGAGGTTATTATGGGCCGTTCAGGTATTAGCCTATCCAAAACACGTGACTTTGACAAGCAAACAAAGGGTTTGTGTGCCTCTTGGCAGACATTTTTATTAAGTTTGACAGCATCTTGGAATTGTCAGCCTATCCAAAACAGGTGACGTTAACAAGCAAACAACGGGTTTGTGTGCCTCTTGGTGGACATTTTAATCTAAGTTTGACAGCATCTTGGATAGTCAAATAGAAATTTCTTTTCTCTCTGATGAATGAGTCCTTATATCCCCTCAATTCATTCAGCCACCTTCGGCAGGACGAAAAATCCATGACTGCACTTCTTCAAGTGAAAATTGACAAATTTGAGACCACGCTGTCCTGAAACTCAGAGTAAATCTGGGCCCCCTTTTCGAGGAAAGTTACCTTGGAAGAAAATTAAATTACAATAGCAGTGTTTTTAGATTTCAAGCGGGCATTTGAGACACTGTATAGAAATATTTCGTTAAACAAATTACATTTTTATGGTTTTAGAGGTAATGTTTAAAATGGTTTCAAAATTATTTGAGGTTTACTCAGTAGTCAAAAAACTAAAATAAATAACATATTTTCAAAACAAATCTATAATAATATTGGGGTGCCACAAGGTAGTGTATTGAACAGTGGCGTAGCCAGAAATATATTTCAGGGGGAAGGGCCGCATCTAGGTGTTTTTAGTAATTTGTGAAGAAAAACTAGTCGTGAAAAATGACGAGAAAACATTTATGTAAAAATATGTATGACTGTACAAGATACACTATATAATACGTGATTCGCTTGCATTGGTGTTTTCCTTGTTGTTATGTTGGTGGTTGTGTAAATTTGAAGTTTAAATTTTGTTTATCATAATAAATAACTTCACTTTTGGATGTTATTATCACATTCAACTCACAGTTATTTTCTGTTACCAAGAAATAAACAATTTTCGTAATTTTCTATTATTATTACATAGTGGATATTAAACATTTTTGCAACATTTTCAAGGTTAAGTTAGGGTAAGAGGTTAGGTAATACTTTGACAGTTCGACTAAAACGTCACTCTCTCACCTGCTTGTCACAGGCTGCGCGCGCCGATTCAGGTGTTACGAGACAGGTCAATTGAGTAAATCAATGCAAATCCTGACTACGCCACTGATATTGGGTCCTTTATTATTTATTCTTTATATAAATGATTGTTAATCGTACGAAGGATCATATACCATAAAAATAAGACCATACACTTGTAGAAAACTCTGAGTTACTTTACTCTTTATTGTCGTTAGGTTTACAAATAAAATATATCAAAAGTATTATCAAAATTGTGAGAGACAAGAAAAGATGGATTCGAATGTTCCAAAAAGTTTCTGACAGCTATTTGCACCGCTATAACTTAAGGGATATTCAATCTAAGTGGAACTTTGAAAGTGACTCTTGTAGAAACAAAAACCATATTCAAAGCTCCACTTAGGACCGGTTTCTCATCCGCTAGGCTATTCACTTCGAACTGTTGACTGACGTAACTAGGGTTGTTCAAAGCACAGGGATGATTGTGCGCAGAGTGGATTATTGTAATACAGAAATTGACTTGGAGTAAAGTTTTGAAACTTGCACTTAACATAGCCGGCCACCTTAAAACGTCTTGAACTTTTAAAAACGAAACACAATGATCAAACAAGTTATTTTTGCACTGGGAGTACACAAATCTTCACAGTGGAACGTTTTATAACTGTTTTACTAGAAATACGAATGGATACCACACGCACTTTTCCATCTGCGCCAGGTTCTGTGTGACCTTGCTTCCATCTAGTGACTTGCAATTGGGATAAATACTCCCTTGACCATCGGGTCAAGAAATGTTGGAGAGATTGCTGAATCCTTTGGTAATGGTTCAGCCTTGACATATTAATATATTTTCCAAGCTTGGTTGTGAAACTGTTATTAATGAGTCGCCTATTGGGAAATGGCCAGGGGTAAGACAGGAAAAGTCTATAGGATCCTTGGAAATCGGGATTAAAGGTCTGTGCATTTCTAGTTCCTGAACAGTAAATTAGAAACTTCTTCAAATTTCGACAGACAATTAGCTCTAAATCGAAATATGAAAGCAACATGATGTTGTGTTACGTTCAAATTTTGCATTAAGTACGTAACTGAGATTTAAAATAAATTCGGTAATTAATTAAGGTATTGTGAGGGTATTTAGAAAGCTTTATACCTGAGATTTATAATTTTTTAGTGATTGATAGGCTGCTCATTGGATTTTACTAGATTTCTACCTTTTTGTTTGGATTCGACACAATATCTAGTTGTTGAACAAAGGTATATTTTTCGAGGTAATAATGAGTAAATTCTTCGT